TTCCTCCCCAGAATGTGTCTGTCAGGCGTTTCTTCACAGTGAAGCCAAAGTCACGGACACAGAGACACTTAATGCAAGCCCGCAGCAACCTTCCTGCCTTCATCTATCTCCCACTCAGCTTTCCCGTCAGTGGCTCCTGAGAGATCCCCACTGCAATCCCTCACACCAAGGCTTTCAAGATGCCTCAGACCCTTTTCCTAGGATACCCTTTCCAAGCTAACTTTACCTGGCCCTGTAAGACTTAGGTAGGTCTCCACCTGTCTCACTCTCCACAGGAGTGGGACATGGGTCTCTGAGGATGGGCAGGGCACCGGCTGCTACAAGCTAAATGTGCACCTTTTCCCAGCTCTGCCCCAAGGGTTCTCAGGCATCCCTGGTCAGCATTGGGAACAGCACCAAAGGAACAGACCCTGTGAATCAACAGGGCCCCTCTACTGTAGCCTTGTCATGGACCTCTAGTCTCCAAACTGTAGATAACCACCTGACCCCTGAAGTATTGCCTGGAGGGTAGGAATTGGTCCCATCCTGTAGCCCAGAGTACAGTCAAGACGGAACACTTCAGAAATATTTTGAATGGATGAAACAACTCTCAAGAGTTGACCTGTCTCTACTGTGGCCCCCAGCCTTGATGAACCACAAATGTCTCAAGAGCCACCTGAACCTTCCTGTCCCCTGCCAGGCACATAGAAGTTTTAGCTACTGTTTCTCAGTGCAATTTAGGCCTCCTGGGGAGAGAGGGCCTTGACAGAAGCCCAACTGTTTGTTTGGGCCATGAGTTAATTATGAATGTTAGTCCTTGGTTCCAGACATCTACAGTACACAGCCGTGATGCTGTTCCCAGGTTTAGGCAGATGAGGGGGGTCTGTTTAGCTTTTCTACCTCCAGCTAAAGGGAAGAAAATGCAGACAGGAGAATCCCTCTTCTCCTGACCATGAGGTCTTTGTACCAGGTACATTTGTGCCCAGAAGACCCTCTTCGGCCCGGGTTCTCTAAGGTCACACCATTCCAACGTTGGCTACAGAGCACCGAAGAGGAAAGGAGACCACGTGCAGAAATTCCCAAGTTAGGCTGAGGGGTGAGGACAGGGGGCTGAGTTCAAGGTCAGGGGAGACCTCTTCTTCACCGCCTTTCATGGGCTCCTCTGACAGGAACCGTGCAGACCCAGCCTGTGGGACGTCACAGGGACAAATCATGAAATAGGTCCCACTGTTCCAGCCCAGGGCTGTAACTAAATAAAAGAGAGGGACTGAAAACAAGGGACAGTCATACCTCAGGCAGGTGGTTTAGCCTCTGGGCACCTCCATTTCCTGACCTAGAGAACGAAGGTAAGAACTGAGCCCACCTCGAGCAGAGGGGATAAAAATGAAGTCTGCAGAGCCAGGCGGATCTTTGTGAGTTCGAGGCCAGCCTGGGCTACCAAGTGAGTCCCAGGAAAGGCGCAAAGCTACACAGAGAAACCCTGTCTCGAAAAACCAAAAAAAAAAAAAAATGAAGTCTGGGGTTTGCTGTTGCGCTGGATCGTGAGCTGGCATTACTACAGCTGGTCATGCTGTCACTCCAGGTGGGGACTGTGTGGAGATGGGCATGGCAGACAGCAGAGACGCAGAGAATAGGGAGGAAGTGAGCAGCTAGTGACAGTCCCTCCTGCCCAGGACGACAGCAGGCCTGGCTCGTGTGCTCTGCCTGGGCCCAAGGTCTCTGCTGGACTATGAAAAGTGTTCCAGACATCGGGCAACAGGCCAGCGCAGCTGACCGCCAACGGGCTATGGTGACAGCCTGATGGGGGCTGGTGATTTACCAGTGGGTGCAGTTTGCAGGACCCTGACCTGGGTCATTGACCGTCTGACCCATTAGGCCGGTTAAACATCAGCATTGCTTGCAGGTAGATGGGAGGAGATGCTGCAACCATTACCAGCCCAGCCGTGGGCCTCCCAGGTGGAAGGCACCTTTCTCGGCTCCTCGCCCTTGCTCCTTTATCAGTGTGGGGAACTGGGACTCCCCAGAGTGATGGGAGGTCACAGCTGGGGGCAAGTGAGCCCCATTTCCTCCCAGCTGGGCTGACCTCCATCTGCACTCTTGATGTTCAGAAGGAGAGCACTGACCACAGGGCCATCCTTCCCACCCAGACCTTACACCTTCCAGGATAAGCGAGCAAAGCCCTAAAGATGTTGCTAGCTTTTTGTTTACCCTGGTCTATTTCTTTTCCTTTTGACCCTAGTTTTACTGGGCATATCTCTAATGAGCCTTTCACTAAATGCTCTAGCCTGACACCAAAGTGTGCAGGCCCAGCCCCTCCCCGTGTTTCAGGGAAGCTTCCAAGAATCTGCTATAATTAGACATCAATTAAATTAGAAACCATTAATATGCCTCTTGGAAGGCCTCCAGTACCCAGAGCCTCTGGCCCTATCCACAGTCACGATGGAAAGGCATCCCTGCTAAACCCACTGTCCCGAAGTAAGGTCAGAGCTATGGGCCTAAGGCAGGCGTGTGTGTGTGTGTGTGTGTGTGTGTGTGTGTGTGTGTGTGTGTGTACGAAGTCTCCTTTCTGACCTCTGCTGCCTCAACCCCACCCCACCCGTTAGGACTGTATCCATCCTCTCAAGCCTATAGGCTGGGTCTCCCTGCCTCCCCTGCTGCCTGCCCCAGCTTGCTCCTTGCCAGAAGGAAAACACCCAACAAGTTCACAATTGAGGACAACCTGGGTACTTTCATCTTGCCTCACAGGACTGAGATGCAAAAGAGTCTGGAAGCCTGGCCATTTCTGGCAGGCCACCCATACACAGCAGTGATGTGTGAGGCAACCTTGAGGTACCTGAGCCCATAGAAGACCCAGATCCTGTCCCTCAAGGCCTCGCCAGTGACCCTAGCCAGGCCTCCCCAGACTCTTGTAGAATGCCCGTCCTCAGACAGCTTTAGGAAACACACTTCTCCCCAGAGTGAAATAGCTCTGTGAACTTTTTCTCATCACAAAGTTCACAGAGTGGAATGAAACCATCCACTCTAAGCCTTGGTCCATGGCTGCCTCTACACTCCTTTCCTTCCCACCAAAACCAATTTCTGATGTAAGGCGAGGGTATTACTCAGACCCCACTCTTGTGCATACGGACATCGTCACAGTCACAGCCAGGGAGGTCTTCTGTATGAAGTCTTTGACACTCAGCTGTGGACAGTTGAGCCCTGCGTGGTGCTCCAGGGAACTGAAGCACCTGTATTCTTGTCCTAGGGCTGGAGGCCAAACCCGGGGATTCACACATGCAGGTGTGGGGTGGGGGTACTTAACCACTGAGCTACACCCCCAGCCCAGAATTCTGTTGTTTATTGTGGTGATAAATAAGAGTGACCTCTCAGAATCCCACTCACCATCCTTACACAGGAGTGTGAAAACTTATTGCTCCATGGGGGAGGAGGCAGAAAGGCTGGACAGGACTGCTCAGGAAGAAAACAGGCCCTGAAAGCTATAAGTTCCAAGCTCATCAGATACGGACCCTACCTGCCTCTTCTCTGCCTGGTTACACCTTGGATGTTTCTCTCCTAAATGTGCACTCTAATTCTAGAACCCAGACCGAACAGGACTTTAAATCTGCTGGGATCGAAACGTAGGGGCCGAAAGTCCAAATGCTCAAGGCCTCCCTGGCCCTGCCCAGCTAGCCCAGCTCCCCTCTCCTTCTGAAACTTATTTTCAATACACCAACAACCCTTTGGCTGCTTTTCTCAGTGTCTTTAGAATATTCCTACAAGGAAGAGGAAAGAGGAGAGGGTAGGGGAACAGAGGGAGGCGGTTTCCAGGTACCACATCTGCTTTGAGCCTCCTTACCCAGCACTCTTGTGTGTGCTATTGAAAATTACTGATTCCCATGACCAACCATAAGGACAAGAGAACGTGGGATAAAAGATCTAGGGGGTCCCTGAGGGATCAGTTTGATGTGAGGCTTAAGTCAGCACTGGATTCTAGAAGGTTCCTAGCATCCTCTACCTCCCAGAGAATGTGCTGTTTGTCATTAATTTACCCCCCCCCAATGCTAATATGGTGGTCACAGTAGAGCACCCGGGGAGTCCAGCAGCTCCCACGAGCACATCGTCTCTTGCTAACATGTAGGGTGATTAATACTCATACTCCCAGGTAAAATAGCTTGGCCTGGGAACACAAGTCGCAGTTCATAGTGAAAAGGTGAACAGGTAACACTATGGCAGAGCAGTGTACTAACGCAGTAGTTGGTGAAGGCATGTGAATCCCTGCACTATGGTATCCTCTATACATTAAATAGTTGTATGACCTTGGACAAGTCACATAACCTCTCCGCCCTTCAGTCGTTTCAATTATAAAATTAGGTAGCTGAACTGCATTATCTCACTCATCTCCTCTAGTGACTTCCCAAAGAAAGGGAAGACCCTTCCAGTGGGCTGTGAGAGCAAAGGGGATGCACTAGACCCCAAGATTCTTCTTGTCCCGGCTCTCAACAGGCAGCCCAGGTTACCTCATAGTTAAAGCTCGCACAAGACTGCTCTTTAGACTGAAGAGCATGGTAAACGCTAGCCCCCAGCTCCCAGCTTAACAGCAGGCCCCATTTGCTCAGCCTTCCCTCTGGGGGGTCTTTCTAGGGCATAGTGTGATGCTGGTTAGGGTACACGAGCTGTCTTCAGGGTCATCAGCCTGAAGCTTAGCTTAGTGCCTGTCTATTCTGGTGGTTCTCAACCTTCTTCATACTGCGACCCTTCAATACAGTTCCTCCTGTGGTGGTGACCCCTACAATTATTTCGTTGCTACTTCATAACTGTAATTTCGCTACTGTTATGAATCGTAATGTAAGTATCTGATATGTGGGATAGCTGATATTTGGACCCCCAGAGGGGTCGTGACCCCCAGATTGAGAAAGAATAGACCCCATTCTTTGGGGTGTGCCCTTCCCCGTGCTGTCTGCTGGAAGTCACCTTCATCCACTGAGACACGATGAAGATGAAGGCAGCTGGAGCACCTGATACAGACGCAGTGTGTCTTTCAGGTACGCTTCCGGGAGATCATGGCCCACATGGGGGACTGCAGGTGGATGTCCTGGCTTCCGGTGCTGGTGGTAAGTTGTTCTGAGGGCCTGCCCTGACTGTGTATGGACTTCAGCACCTGCAGGGCCCTTCCCTCAGGCCTCAACCCTCACTAGCTGTACCACCTCAGAACGCCCTTTACAGCCTCCTACACCCAGCTGTCAGGAGAGGAGGAGGACAACAGCACCCCAGTTCTAACTGGACCATTTACCAGGCGCTCTCTTCACGGGCCTTGTAGATAGAAATGTCTCTCAATGCTTTTCAGTGATGTGTTAGCCTGTGTGATGGGCCCAAAGCTAAAAAAAGATCAGGAAGTTCCTGCCCCCTTGAGTCCCTCCTGGCGGTGGGGGTTGGGACACCACAAGACCAAAGGACCAGCCCCTAGATGTCTAGAGACTCAAGGGAAGGTATGCCTCCTTCATGACTTTAAAAGAATCCAAGGCTTAGAATGGTGTGGGAAGAGGATGAGTTTGGACGGCAGGATCGGAGGAAGGGATTGTAAGGATGGCTGTGGATGGGAGGGGGCGGCGGCGGGGGGTGGGCAACCTTGGGCTCTCTGGGGACTGTCCCCACATACCAACGGCACCTTGAGGAGGTGTGGAGGCCAAGCACCCCTTTCTGTGGCAGGTGTCTCTGATGTGCTCAGCCAAGGCAGAGGAATCCAGCTGTGGCGAGAATGAATACCACAACCAGACTACGGGGCTGTGCCACCAGTGTCCTCCCTGCAGGCCAGGGGAGGAGCCCTACATGGTAAGGACCGGCCTGTGTCCCTGAGCTCTGGGGAGGTGGGGGTGTGCTCCCAGCACCAGCCTCCTAAACTGTCACTGAGGTCACCAAGGTGTATTCATCAGGGCTGAGTGGTAGGAGCTGCAGAGCACAGTGCCCTCGCCAGCTGTGCCCTCTCCAGCTGTGCCCTCTCCAGCTGTGCACACTCCAGCGTATTTCTCAGGCATTCTGAATTCTTGCAGAAGTGTCCCATCCTGCCTTGTTGGGCTGACAGTCTGAATTGGAAGTATGGGGGGAAATGCTCTCCAGGAACAGTGCATCAATTCTGAGAGCCAGGGGGTGGGGTGGGGGGCCCTTCTGTGGAAAGGCTAAACACACATGCTCTGTGAAGCACCAGAGAAATGTCTGGAGCAACAGTATCTGGGGTCCTTGCAGCGTTCTGAGGAAACTAGTGAGGCACCCCGGGGAAAGCCAGTGGACCTATTTAAAGGACCTCATCTGAGGCAGGAGGCTGTCACTTAGCCTCAGATGGTAGAGGAGAGGAGCAAGCTTAGAGAAAGAGCCAAGGAAATCAGGACGGACGGCAATTACTGTAGGAGGGGCAGCCGAGGCTGGACCCAGCCCGCATGCCACTGTGCCGGCCTCTGTAGTCACTTGACGTGTTCTCATATCCTCTGCCTCCCCGGCCAGTCCTGCGGATACGGCACCAAAGATGACGACTATGGCTGTGTGCCCTGCCCCGCAGAGAAGTTCTCCAAAGGAGGTTACCAGATATGCAGGCGCCACAAGGACTGTGAGGGCTTCTTCCGGGCCACCGTGCTGACACCAGGGGACATGGAAAACGACGCCGAGTGTGGCCCCTGTCTCCCTGGGTAAGTGTGCTGCTGCGGGGCTGACCGCTGAACGGTGAGGAGCAAGGACCCCCGAGATCAGAACCCCATAGGCACAGCGGGCCTTCACGAAGTGTCATGCCCTACCCTTTGTCACCGCCTACTGGGGATAATAATAGGATGGTGAGTCCTGTCGCGACTCATGGACCAGCACCCTTCAGGTGCTGTATTTGTGGCTGATAAGGGGGCATGCAGCATCACAGCGTAGCCTGACTGCCTATGTAAAACATACCAGCCAAACACTCACAATGAAACAATACATGTGAAGCATTTCGGAGGGAGAAAAAAGTCTAACATTCACAGGAAGATATTATTGTCAGTATTCTGGGAAAGCTGTGAGTAAAAAGCATGAGTCTCTCTGATGTCTGTGCTTCCCACACTGCTGGGGTATATAGGTCTGCCCCTCAAAACGCAGAGTGAGAATGTAACTGATCTGAAAGACAAAAAGATAAAAAAAATCTTTCTGTTTTCCCGATAGAACGCATTAGCAAATTCTGCCTGGACTCAGGAAATTCCTATCTGGAGACCTAATCAATTTTAAGCCCCAGCGGTTGCTGCTGCCTCCCCCTAGTGGCCACAAAACATCATGTTTTGCTAGACTACCAATGAAGGGGGAAAGCATGGTGGGAGGCGGGGGAGGGGATGGAAGTGGTGGTGGTGGTGGTGGTGGTGGTGGTGGTGGTGGTGGTGGTGGTGGTGGTGGTGGTGGTGGTGGTGGTACAGGTGTGGGTTCAGGAGGTGACAGAGATGGTGGTCGTGAAGGTGATGGTCGACCGGATCGTGCTGATGGCCATGATGTGGCAGGTCTGGGGTGGGGAGAGTGGAGCTAACACCAGACATGAACATTGCCTTATGAGAAAGACATAGTACAGAAATGTCAGAAAGGCATCTCCAACATAAGCATAAGTGAGCTGTGAATTCACTCTTCACCACACACACACACACACACACACACACACACACACACACACACACACACGAGTTCAGTTTCATTGTAGAAACAACTATTTCACAGCTTCTGTCACCACCTGTCTCTCTGCTGGTGACAGACTCCCACCGCGGTTTCCCGGTGTTCTGTCTTAAGCTCAGGCCACCTCCTGAGCCACAGACTCAGGTATCCAAATATTTGCTAGGTAATCCAACGCTCAGGTCCCTGACTCAAAGCATGATTCAAATGTATGTGTCGAGTGAATCTATGAAACAGTAGGACCTCAGCATGTAACCTTATCCTTCGACGTGTAAAAAAGCAGAGGGCTATAAATGGGGAGGGGAGTGGACTATTCCCTTCGAAAAGATGAGGAAAAAAATAAGTTTTTTTCTGCTCGCATAGTTGTTGTGGTTACGGTTTTGTGGGACTCCCCCAAAAGGAACAACAGCGTTAGAAGCAGAACAGGTGTATCCCCACACAGCTGCATAAGCACCATGGAGGGGACTGGTCGGTGCAGACCCTGGGTTTGCCTCTGAGTGAGGGACACTCAGTGAGATCTGATGGTAGACAGAACTGGTCTCTAGTAGCTTACACAGTTCCTAGAATTTGATTTTGATTGATTCATTAATTAATTGGCTTCAGATTTTTTTTTCTTGGTTCAAAGGTGTGATCCACAAAGAAACACAGAATGCCTGGGGGCCCCTGTGTCAGACACACCCATCCCATCATGCTTCCTTTGGAGGGAAGGAACCTTCTGTGTAAACCTGTTTCTAGTCTCGTAACAGATGCATTATTTATTTTTGCATTATTTATTTTCCCTGAAGGCGGCAAGCATCTGACAGGGCCTGGTCCTCTGGTTCCCATGGAACAGTAAGGAGTTCATGCTGGGAGATATGAAGCCACTAGAGGCAGGTGGAGGCAGGTAGAGATGTTCTAGCAACCAGCACGGAAGACTTGGGCCCTCAGCTTGTAACTGATGTAGGTCCCCACTCAGAATGCCAAGTCAGGGAAGGGCGCAGCAGGGCTCAGTGTCAGCAGGATCCTGTTGATGGCAACAGGGGAAGTGGCTGAGTAGGGAAGACCCTGGAACCTAGGGAGCAAGAACAATATGGAGAGCAGGGGGAACTGGGACAGAGGCACTGGGGGCGGTGAGAGTCTAAGAACTGCCCAGCAGCTAGATGGAGGCACAAGGTGGAGAAGACTCATTGGTGTCTGCCCTCCCTGTGCTAGCATGGATGGGTGGTGCCACATGTTCAGACGCAGAATACAGGGGGAAGACACATTTGGTGGGGATGGGAGACAGGTAGAGGTCAGATGTGTAGAACCCAGTGCCATAGGACATCCAGACCAAACTCTCCCACGTGGATGGTTGGAGAGGTGTAACACTCAAGGTGAGTGTTGAGCATTGGTTGGGCTGTCCATATGGGATCTATGAGGCAGCTTCACAGTGCAGGGAGTATGGGCCAGTGCGGGGCGAGGCTCCCCAACCCACACATCTGGCTCTCAAGTGGCTAAAGGTGAGCCTGTGACTGCCACACCAGGGGTCCATGGGAGCAGCTGTTCTGTCCAGATTATCCAAAGGGGGCAGTGACTGTATGCAGCCGGCTTCGCTGCCCATGAGAGCCACAGAGAAGAGGCTTTCTAGCTAAACTAGACAAGCCTGGGACCATGCAGTGACTGCACTGCTCAAAGGCAGATGCCAGCCAGCACTTGAGAACCGGCTCGAAGAGCCATGAAGACAACTTGCCTGGTCCCAGGATTTACCAGAAAGTATCCAGTCTCCAAAGATATTTAATAACGGTAGTGAGCCCCCTGCCTCTAGGAGGCTACAAGCAGACGCCCTTTGTAGAATGAATGGTGGGGCCACGTGGGTTCCAGAAGCCCGTTCTGGGCTCTGACGTCTTGAGTACTTCTCTCTCTGTTCCTGGAATAGTAACTTTATCTTCAGCACTTGGGACAGATTGAGGCTGGAGCACCCCCTAAGCGAGGGAGGGGCACATGTCCACCCCCATCTCAGGGTGCTGCATATCACTCCCCAGATGTGGCAACTGGGCAGTCAGTTCCCCCTTTGGCTTGCAGTGAGATATATCTGCTAAATCAAGCATTCCTGACCCTGAAGCCACTGAACAAAAAGCCTCCACTTTACCCCTAGTCCCCAAGGACTGCGACCTTAGAACTACTACCCAAGCTCCAGAGGGGCAGGACCCACTTCCTGTTACACGCCCTAAATTGACAGAACACAACGAGGCTCTCATGCCGGCACAGAGGACTATGGGGCATTTTGGCAGGCTGGACCGATTAGCTCCATGAACCCCTGTGGTTATGAGCCAGGATGTAGATTTACCTGGTGTTTGTCTTTTTAAGGCTGCGGGCTGGCCCTCTCCTCTCCTGTGGTTTGGCAGGTGCTGGCTCCCATTCTCAGTTCTGTACGCACATGTGGCCCAGACACTCACTGAACAATAGCACCGTATGGGGCTTTCCTGTCTGTGTGGGAGACGGCAGGAGGCAGGGAGAAGGCAAGAGGGAAGGGGCTAGATTTCATAACCTCCCCTGCTCTGGCATCCCCTGCCCCTGGGTACCTGCTGCAGCCTTTACACAGGAGGCTGGAGAAAGGACTCTGCAGGTCGCAGACTTCTGCAAGTCACGAGCATCTCAGGACCCAGAGCATCCACCACAAGCCTAGGTCCCAGGAAAGGGGAATCTGCTGGGGAAAGCAATTCCTACCGACTTAGAGGAAGTCAGTCTGAAGAGAAGACTCTCGAATCCTTGTTTAAACTGAATTTTGCCCCGAGCTAGACAACTTAGGCCAGGAAGAACAGAAGAGAGAAGGAGAATCCTTCAGGTTGTCCCCAGCTGTCAATGGCTCAGCTTAGCATTTTTCTCCATTATGATGTTTCTACTCATAAAAGAGAAACATCACTTCAGTTCGGATTAGCTCAGTTAATGGTGAGCCCCATGCATCACTGTCTTCCACTTCCAGAGCACTGCATGAGACAAGCTTTATTACAAAGCAAGCTTTGTGTTAGATGATGCAGCCCAATTATAGGCAAAACGTGCATGTTCTGAGAACACTGCAAGCAGCTCCACCAGCTAGCGTGGGGTTGAGTGTATGGAATGCATTTTCTATTTAACGATTTCTTTAACTTACACCGAACTTACCAGAATACAACCTCATGGTAAGTCCAGGAACTTTTGTAGAGAAAAATCAAAATATGGATCAAAGAGTAAGGGATTGCATCTTTGCAGAAAGATAGATGGTCTTGACGCTAGCTGGACCACAGATGCCTACATGAACACTTTACTTCAGATGGAAGAAGACAGGCCAACATTCTCCACTCAGCTGTATGCAGAACTCCAAGTACAAACTTTGAGGTTAGGTCAGGTTAGTCCTGGAAGAAAAACCTACATTTAAAAATGTTCCCTGGGCTGGAAGGATGGCTCTGTCAGTGTCTGCTGTACAGGCATGAAGATCTGAATTCAGATCCCCAACATTCACATAAAGGCCGGAAGTGGTGACAGGGATCACATAGACAGGGGGATCTCTGGAGCTCACTAGCCAGCCCACCTAGTTGAAGCAATGAGCACCCGGCTCAGTGAGAGACCCCCGTCTTTACCAATAAAGCAGAGAGCAAATCAACTAAGGTACGAGACATTGACCTCTGGGCTCCATACATTTGCACACCCAAGTACCCAAGTGTGCACCGCATGCAAGCCTGCACATACACACGGGAACACACACATAACAAAACACACCCACAAATATTCTTGCAGCGGTACATGCTAGAACAAGGTAGCTTCTTATCTGGAGGCATTTGACACGTGTGCCAGGTAGGCCACGCAACTTCTAAACAGCTTCCTAGACTAACCCATCTTTAAAATTTTTATAGCAGGGCTTGAGATATGGCTCAGCAGTTAAGAGCACTGGCTGCCCTTCCAAAGGAGCTGGATTTGATTCCCAACACCTACATGGCAAACTCTCTGTAACACCAGTCTTAGGGGATATGATACCCTCTTCTGACCACCGATGGCACCAGTCATGTACGTAGTATACAAACAAAACATGCAAACCAAAGACTCATACACGTAAGATAAAAACAAACAAACCATTTTTTCACACCTTTTCAATAGTACTTCTTCATTCAGTTACTTTGTACAGCTTGATCGAGTGTACAATTAAGGCCAAGGCAGGAGCGTGGAGTGGTAAACAACATTCACATCCCCTGTGAGAATCAGAGGGAGACACCCAGATTCCGGGAGTGGTCAATCTACACAGAAAGTGCCTGCCTGCATGCCAGATGGGAACCCTGGACAGAGCAGCTAGCAGCCTCTTTCCAGGTGCTCAATACCCAGGAGGTCTTCAGTGTGTAGCAGGTCCCAAGGCCCCAGTGGTCCACACACACCCCCTTCTGTGTGTGACTTTAGAGCCAGCCTGGGGCAAAGCCTGACAGGCAAACATAACCAGGACAGACAAGTCTGTGGCTCTGCTGCTTCCAAAGGGGGAAGGGTGGCACCCCCAAATACCTTTGGAGCTTTCTTCTTTCTCAGAACTTGGAACTGTGGAGCAGAATATAATGCCATTCATCAACTTGTCTAGCCAATAATTTCCAACAACTCTCCTTCCTTAGTACCCGGCAAGAGGTATGAGGGAGGCTTACCCTCATTGGCCTTCAGCACCCGGTCTTAGCAGGATGGGAGAAAAAAAACAGCGTGGACTTGGGAGTAAGATGTTAGAAAGCCTCAAACTGGGCGGTGGTGGCGCACGCCTTTAATCCCAGAACTCGGGAGGCAGAGGCAGGCGGAGCTCTGTGAGTTCGAGGCCAGCCTGGGCTACCAAGTGAGTTCCAGGACAGGCTCCAAAGCTACACAGAGAAACCCTGTCTCGAAAAATAAAAAAAAAAAAAAAAAAAGAAATGAAAAAGAAAGCTTCAAGCAGAACTGACCCAAGCAAGTTGAGGCCCCCTGCCCCCTGCTGGGTAGATCCACCGTTGATCCCTCCTTGTTTCCTTGCTTCCCTGACAAAGATGGCTTCTTAGGGGACCAGCGGGTGCGTTTGGGAGCTTTTCCCAGAAGGCTTGACAGTTAAACTGTTGCGGCTTCTCCGAGGGGTGTTTTTGAGATTGGTTAATTAATGTTTACAAGATACACGGGGATCTGAGGATAAAAGGCTCTGGGTAAGGGCAAGCCATTACAACCCTGATGCCACTGGTAATGGTCCAAGTTCAGGCAGGCTGGGGTCCAGAGTCTTCCAGCCCGCCCTCCTGCCTCATCTTACCACCCACAGCCATCAGGAGGGCTAATGAGAAAGAAGTTAGGAAACAATTGCAGGTGGATCCACCAGCAGGGAGGGCTTTTCATCTCTTGAGTTATCACAAAGGGAAGCGAGGGACGGACTCCGGCTCGCTTTATTTGATTAGACCTCTCACTGTGTGATAAATGGCCTCGTGATCACCCCACAATGTTTGTTTATGGAAAGAGGCTCACACCAAGAAATGAGCCAAAATGTGAAAGAATTCCCCTCCTTTGCCATTCCCCTCCCCCTGGCACTACGGCAGGGGAATGGCAACTGCTGAGGGCTGGATCCTTTAAGGGGCGGGGCGGGGGTAGTAGCAGGAGCATTGTTGGGGTGAAAAGGACTTGAAACAGTGTCACTCCCAGCGATTCACCCTTTCCTGTGAGTGCAACTGCAGACTTAATAGTTACACAGGTGTCTTTAGCCTGGGGCAATTAGTGTATCAGCACCTGGCTCCACTCTGGGTCATCCTCCAGGCTACCTGCACTGCCCTGTGGGACCAGTGTAGCTGTTCCCTGTCTCTGGCACTGTCACCCACCCAGGCAGTTGAGGGGTCCCAAGGGTCCCGGAGACAAACAGGGATCTTGCCAACAACCCCACCAAGCTATGGGCTCTGAGAAGGGTGCCCGTGAAAGGAGAGCGACACAGGTAGCTCACCAGTGCCCACACGTGGTGAAACACAGGCACTTCTGCTGAAAGCGTTCCTGAAAGGCAGTAATCACACACACACACACACACACACACACACACCACCACCACCACCACCACCACCAACAACAACAACAACAACAACAACAACAACAACAACAACAACCACCCCCTCAGGAAAAGGAACAAAGAGAGAGGAGGCCATGTAAAGTCAGGCCCCAAATCATCCCAGTCCTGGAAAAAGAATGCTCCACGTCAGGACATGCTAAACATCCCCCCTAAGGAACTCAGGGAGAGCTATTGGCCTCTCAGGTCCTCAGTTCCCACCCAGCTATCTCATACCGGGCTTCAGCCACGGCCTAGGAACATCCGGGTTGTACCTGTGTGGTATCTCTCACTCATCTGCCTTTTCTCTGTCTCATCTTGTCTCCCGTAGCTACTACATGCTGGAAAACAGACCCAGGAACATCTACGGCATGGTCTGCTACTCCTGCCTCTTGGCACCTCCCAACACCAAGGAATGTGAGTGCTCTGCCCTTCCGACAGAACCACTGTCTGATTTAAACGCATTAGTGATGGCCTCACGGTGCCCGAAATGTGCGCAGTGTTGCATTAGGGAAAGGAAGTCAAAGTTCTTCCCCTTGGAGTAATCTTACCAAGAGCAAGCTCGGATCTGAATTCTGTTCCTCTCCGTGTGTCCTCCATCATCTCCTGTCTGTCTGTCGGATGAGTCTGAATCTGTGCCTGCCCACAGGCTGTCTTGTGAATCTGTCTGTCCCTGTGCTTGTGTGTGTGATTGTCTGTGAATAGCACAGAAACCACCACATGGGGAAGGGATGAGGGAAACTGTACAGAAACCTTTAACAGAGGTTTTACAAAGGATGAAGTCCCTGACTCCAACTGACCCCAACTGACCCCAAGTGCCCCACATAACAAACATTACTGTGAATGTCACTGCAAATAGACTTATCAACCTATATCCATGTTTGTAGCCAGCACTGACGGTGGATATGTTTTGGAAGGTTGCTTTCAACCTATTTGCTGTTTTCAGCATTTATTAGCATAACATACATAAGCACATACACACACACACATACACACACGCACGCACGCACGCACGCACGCATGCACTACTCTTGGGGAAGGGGCATGAGAGCGCACAACTCAAGAGCACAGTCATGCATTGTCTTAGATTGTAAATGTTGATTTTGTGGGAAATCCAAGACATAGGAAGGTTGGCTGTTACATCGTTCTCTTTAAAGCAGATGAAACAAACAGGCTGAGCACACAGTAGGACAGCATTCTTAAGTCCTGAGTGACCTCACGGTGTATTATTAACTCTTGACTGTGAGGTCTAGCAAAAGTTCCAGTCTCTTAGAGTGTTAAAAAAAATTATAGGCCGGACGGTGGTGGCGCACACCTTTAATCCCAGCACTCGGGAGGCAGAGCCAGGTGGATCTCTGTGAGTTCGAGGCCAGCCTGGGCTACCAAGCGAGTCCCAGGAAAGGCGCAAAGCTACACAGAGAAACCCTGTCTCGAAAAACGAAAAAAAAAAAAAAATTATAATATTGCATCACCCCAGGGCCCCATTTGTCCAGCACTGGTGTCTTCTACTACTGGTGCAGGATGAAGCCAGTTCCAGCACCTAGACAAGATTAGCACAGCAGTGGCTAGACATGGAGACAGCTCGGCCATCAGCGGCATTTGTTTCTCTTGCAAAGGACTGCAGTTTAGTTCCCAGCACCCACCTCAGGGGGTTAACAACTATCCAGCTCAGGGATCAGGGCATCTAGGACACACACACACACACTAATAAAAATAAAATCTTTTTGAAAAAGACCAACACAACAAAGGTATAAACAGGGTATTGGCTTTGCTGTGGGTGAGTGTTTTTGAGTCAGACATTAAGGCTGTCATGCAGGCTGGCCAGCAGCCCCGCCGAGGAGTCACTCGGTTATACCTTCTGTCTCACAGAGAGAGATCCCAAGACCTGATCCGCTCAGCTTATGGGACCACTAGGAAAGCTAAGGGGATCACAGACACAAAGATTTTTGGAAAATACTACAAAGTGCTAGACAATTTTAAGTTCTCATGTATACATAAAATTACATGAGGCCATGAGAAATGTAGAAATATTCATAAGTTTATCAAGAAATGAAATAGCTTCCAAAAACTACAACTATTAGCCTCATGGGTTTATAACCTTCCATGGGCTGCTGCTTTTCCGGTCTCCTTATGGTCCATCTTTCATTTGTGGAGAAGGGCCCTCCCTCTGTTTCAAAGGACTCTAATGGATGGTTTCTTGGACTTGGTGACATGGTCTAATAAATATAGGAATGTTCTGAAGCTGGGGCCCTTAGCCTGCATCCAAATGTCAAACTTACTAAAAGTGTGTTTGGGGACCACCCAGACCTGCTATGGAGGGAAGATGAAGGAAAGCTGGAAGGAGGCTAGCCTCATGATCTACCCATGCTCTCTACAAGAAGGGAAAACAAGAAGGGAAGCCCGTACCTGGAACCAGCCTGGGATGAGGCCCATCCACCCTCATGTTACAATTGTACCTTCAAGGAGAATGTAATAGGGACTTCCTCCTTAAAAGGTCAGGTGGTAGGAACGGAAGAGTGTCACCTCCCTGCTGGTGAGGCCCCACAAAGCAATTATGTGACTAGACAGGATGCCTGGAAGCAGGGAAGCTAGAAGTTAGGGAATCAGAAGGGCCAGGCCATTCTCTGCATTCCAAATAGGTTGGCAATTGGAATAGATTTGCATGTGTTTAAAACTGAACTTCCTACCTGTCATATGCTAATTAATTTACAAATTGGAGGAGGCCCTGGGGCTCCTGGCTGCCAGCCTGGCCTGTGGTAAAGTCAGCTGCCATTGCTAATGTGTCTTCTGTAGGGAAATCTACGTGGATGAAATGCCAGATGATTCTGCGATGAGGTTCTCACCTGAGGGGAAGATATCAGGACCGCACCACCTATCAGAAAAGGTTCTTTGGCTAAGAAACCTGGGAGGGAAGTAGCTCCCTTCAGGGGTCCTCACACACATACATGCCCTTCCCTTATTGCCTGGGCAGTCAGAAGAGCCAACCATATGCATCCAACCTGGGGGAAAGCAAGCCAAGTCCCTGACTCCTAGAGATTAAAAAACAAACCAAAAACAAAGGATCCCCTCCATCTCTCTACTCTTTGATTGCTTATCTGAAAGCTAGATCCTAGGAAGGCTTCAGTGTAGGTTTTTATTATCCAGTCTTGCCTCTGGGGTCAGTTCAGCTCCCTCTGGAGTCCTTTCAAGCCAGTCTCCAGGAATCTGTTTGCCCAGCCCAGAAACTTGTCTGAGACAGATGTAGTAAATGGAGCACTGACTGGTCAGAGCCTCCTTTAGAATGTCAAACAACTCCACTCTGCCCTTCTCTACTCTGGCCTCAGTTTGGAGACTGTGTTACCCAGGATGCATTGTGATTGGAAAGAGCACCTCTAAAGACAGCCCTGTGAAATTAGGAGACCCATATGCTCAGTATTGTTGTCCACAGCCCCACCCCAGGAAAGCCAGAGACTTGGCCAAACCTCGTCTTTGTTGGGCTCTTGAAACCCTGGCTGGTGGCCTAGGCTGCACCTCTTCCTGAAGGGTGGATTTCCTGGGCCTTGCTGTACCAAGTTGTCATTCTTGGTACTCTGAGTCAAGGACCCTGGGGCACCTGGTGATGCAGCTACATGCCCAGGAGAGCTGGAGCAGGCAGATGGCCAGGTACAGGACAGCCAGTCCAGCTACATGCCTGAATCAGCACGAGGGTCTCCTCTTCAAGGAAGGATGGGGGTCAGGGTACCCACCACTCCCCTCACCCCACGTGACTGAGCCTGCAATGGCATTCTCAAAGAACTGGCTGTTTCTCTGGGCGCTGAACAGGGGAGTTCATGTGCTATGATTCTTGTCATATTCCCACGAACTGCTTGAGGTAGCACACGTTTCTGGGTCTGCCTGTGATTCAGCAGGTCTGGAGGGGGGCCCAAACACATTTTTATTAAGTCTGACATTTGGGTATAGGTTAAAGGCCCCAGCTCCAGGCCATTTCTGCCTTTGTTAGAGTATTTATCCAGCCTCACGAAGCTCTGTTTCCATCCCTGCCAGGCTGTACTCAGTGGTGTCTACCAACAGACTTTTGCACAGCCAGGGTGGATTAATGCTCACCAAGCACTCTCATAAACATGTCCTAAGAGTACTGCTGTGTTGCTGTCACACAGACCATCAAGGGACCCTCGGGAAGAATGAGAAAGTGACACGTATTTACTTATAAAGTAGAATTAAATGTTCCTGTTCCTGGATGGCCAAGATGCTGGGTTCCAGGTCGGTCCTGTCTCCAGGCTGTCTATCATCACCATCAACACTCAGTAATGGTACCTGGGGGCCACTTCTGTTTCTGCTCTCTCTACCGCATAATTGAGACAATACCTGCACACACTGAGGTTGACAGTATGTGGACATTGAAACGGGAAACACAAAACAGATACAGCTGGCAGTCTTCCCTAAACCACCACTGGCACCCAGCAACCTCTTCCCGGGGCCTTGAAGCAAAGCCCCCTCCCCTCCTGCCAGCAACAGCCCACTGGGAGAGTGTCAGGCCTCAGCCTCCTTCACTATCTGCTGGCATGGGGCGCTGGCAAATCCATGTTAGACCGAAGGGACACCAAAGCCCTTTGATTTGCTTTTCCATAAGCCAAAGAGCAAGATGCACTTGAGCAAGGAGCTCTGTCTATGATTTCCTTTCTTCCACGTTATCCTGAGAACGCAGCTACCCGGACGGCTGAGTAGAGGGGCCTGTGCTGTGATGACCATTGGTCAGAGTTTGGAGGCAGGATCTCCGGGATGGAGAAGGGTGTGCAATCCCACTTGGCTTCCATTGTGAGTTTCCACTTTCCCTAAGAAAGTGATCTCATTCTCTGTACCGCAGTTTCCTCTAAGGTCTTGTATCACAAGATCTCTGTGAGGACAGGTGAGACTAACATGGACAGTGTGTGGGAAATACCCACTTCGGTGCTAGCGAAATATCCCAGTGCAGCGGGCAGCAGGCTGAGCCACACGACGGCAGCCCTGCACTTCCAAGAGCTCCTCTGGGACAGAGTTGTTAGAGAGGCAAGGACATAATGCAATAGAAGTATCGTGTTGGGGCAGGACCACCTGTCACCTGTTTCTCTCTCTCTCTCTCTGTGTGTGTGTGTGTGTGTGTGTATTTAATCACCTGTCGGTGGCTAAGACCCTTGAATTAAGTCAAGAAGAGAGTGGTCTCTTAGGGAGGGACACCAGTTAAAAGACTAGGCTGTGTGTGGCTTAGAGCCCTGTAGTGGATTCTATTTGGCACCCATGACTCCCTCACGTGAGCCTTGGAACATAAACAGGAAACCCTGGCCGCCAGGAGCATGGACCCAGTCGTTTCTGTAAAGTACTCTTCACACCAGATCATGCCCCATAGCACTATTCACACCAGAACACACCACATAGCACCAAGGTGAGAGGCAAGGTCTGGCAAAGCAGGCCTGAGCAGACGCAAAGGCTATGTTCCCAGCAAGCAGCCCTCTCACTTCTAGCAGTGAGTGAGGATCTGAAGACTCCACTCATCACTCAAGGATCCACCGCCAGGGTGTGTGGCCAATGCCAGGGCTGCAGGGCACCTCCTTGACAACTCTGAGAACCAAATCACTCTTAAACAGCCGAACTGTTTATACTCTGTGGAGAATGCCAGCCAGCCTCTAATGCATACTGGCACATTTATAAATTGTGTGGATTAACAACTTCAAAGGCCCCTTATAGACCATCATCTCTTTGAACAGAGGTATAACTCCGCTAAGCCTTGTGCTTACAGCTCACTGAGTCCCCGAGGAAGGTGAGCCGAGCCCCTGAAGCCAGCCTGGGAATTCATAGTGAAGTAGGCACATCTGTCCCTACAATCTGGTCTAGTAATAGACCTCGAGTGAAAACTTCTGCTCATTATCTGCGACATCAGTTTTTACCAGCTTTTCTCGAACATTTCACCTTGCTCATTTTAAAGCCAGGGTCCTAGGGGAGCAAACACCCGTCTGTACTTTACTACTCAAAGAGATTGATATGGCAGAGCAAATGACTGAGTGTAGGGAACAGGGTAGGGTGGACTATTTCTAGCTGCAAAACATTTTGATAGTGCAGAGTAAATCCACATCAGACCAGACACAACCTGACACAGGAGAATATGTATGTGGGGATCCCAGCATGCTGCTCTGGGGAACCTGTACCATGGCTGTGCCTTCATGATGGGCGATGCAGATGAACAAGACATCTTCTATGCCCTGCCCCCAAGTACCTTGTAAGGTGGGACAATGTATAGAACCATGGCTGATGAAAGCAGCAATAACCAGGTCTCTAGGCTGGCTCTCTCTGTCTCTCTCCCTGAGTTTTGTCCAAACATACATCACACACAGTTTATTCAATACGATACAGTGTGTTCATAAGATTAATGTGCACACATCTATAATGCTAGTATATGTTTTTCAAGGGTTTGGGATAATAGAGAGCAGGTGTTTGTTTCCTCTAGAGATTTTTCCAACCACACTGAGAAACAACAGAAGCACCAGGGACCTGAGTTTGTCTCCCAAGGCCTGCAGGTACCCTCCTGCTCGTTAGCAAACCACACTCACTGCTCACCAGGAGGTCCTTTGGGGTCCATGACGGTGATGTGTAACGATGGGGAGGTACTTGAGCAGACCTGTGTGAGGTCAGCCTGGCGGCCTGGGGATGTCCAGGACGAGGGTTTACTCTGCTTATCTCACTCCTCCCTCACCTGGAAAACAGATGACAAAAGAGACCAAATAAGACGCAGGTGGTTTTTTTGTCGTTACTGTGCTCAGAGCAGGTCCTGTTTGATTTGTTTTTAGCTGTTTTCCATAGAGTACATGCCTTTCCCCTGCCTGAAGCAGGGCTGCCACTCAGAACATCCGAACCATGCACCCGTGCACTGAGTTGCTCTGAGTCTCCTCGGTCCTCTCTTGCCAGCTCTAGCTCTGAGAAGCCTATCGGCAGGCTATGGGTTGCTGCCCTTCAGGACCTGCATGGCCTGGTTGTGAGCCTGGTTGAATCCATGTAATTTTGCTCCTTCTGCAACCCAACATAGGCCCCAGCATCTACTGCAGGATCCCAGAGGGAAGTGTCTGCCTCCCTGAAGATTCTGCAAGGGCCCTGAGGTCCATCACATAGAAAGGGTTGGGTGGAGGCCACGAGGACCTGAAGGGTGTGCTTGAGGGTGGCTGCAGGTGTTTGGCTCCAGCCCCTGGCTTCGAGAGGTCTACCTTCCTGACATACCTAGTCCCCACTTCCCCCTTCTCAGATGTACTCAGCAGAGCATCCTTGGCCGGGGAATGCCTGGCAACTCCTGCAGCCTGTGCAGTCTGGATGCTCTGCTAATGCCAGCTGGGGTTCAGTTTGGGGACTGTCCAGTATATCGAGCAAGGCAGAGCTGGCCCGAGCAGGTAGCATCTGTGGCTCCCGAAGATGTCCTTAACAAGTAGCAGCCCGCACCACTGTTTGGCGATGTCATGTAACCAGCCCTCCCAGGTTAATGGAATACAAGGGCATTTCATAAGTCTGTACTCACCACGCTGCTGCCTCCATTGTTTCTTTCTAGACCATAGGCCTGGATGTGTTTGCACCCCATCCCCTGCTCTTTCACTGCCTTGGGCTGCAAGTCCTAGCAAGAAGGGACAAGAAAAGACAAAGATTGCTGGTGTCCACAAACACAGCCCTTGACTTTTTTTTTCCCCTCTGCCCACATATCTTAAGCTCACTTGAGCCCCTAACCAAATCAACAGATCAGTTTCTTTTCAATGTCCTATTTGCTCTAGAAAAAGGAAATTAGATTCTATTCAAAGCTGGGTCAGGACGGTCCACCTGATGACATGTGATGACTGTTTCCCGGCATAGTACAAATGGCAGGACCCTGGAGCTTGCCTTTGCTGGTTGGAGCAGCTGCCAACCTGTAAAGGACTTGGTGGGGGTCTGTGAGCAGGAATGGGCACAGCTTGAATGTCTGACATTTGATAGGTGAGCAGGTGAATGTAGCTAAGTAGAAGGACCACCACTGGGGACTCCCTTGCCAGTTCTTCCCTAAGAGTTATCCCTAAAGATAAACTTTAGAAGGAGAACGTTAGGTTTGGAGCCTAAAGGCCACAGAAAAGCTTCCAGTCTTCCTCCAGAAAGATAAAGAGACATCTCACCCTCCCTGGGCAAGTGACTATCCTCCTGGCCCACAGCACAGTTCTATTCCTGTCTAATGTTGAGGGCCAAGCTACCCTCTGAATACCTTGGCACCTCACTGACGCACAGAAATCCACCTCCAGCCTGCCCTCGGCCTGTGATACCCTCTTGCACGTCCACACTGTTCATTCTCCATCTCTCTATTGGTTGAACTAGGTATACAGCCTGAGACAGAAGTCCTGGCCTCTCTCCACAGGGTATATATACTCAGCTAACTCAGCAGCGCATTCCACTACTGTGTGACTGTGTTCCTGCTCCTGGGCTGGCACAAGGCAGACGGCGGGAGGCTTTACACACAGCACGCCTGTGTTTCTCCCAGAACCTCTGTTAGACCGCTGCCCCCACTTACTTCTTACAGAAGCGCTGTGGTGCTGTAGGCTGACCCCAGTGCACCCTTCAGGCCAGTTCTCTTGGCTGGCTGGGGTGGGTGGAAGGACATGTCTTCAGGGAGGTTGGTGGCCCTGTCTGGGCTCGTAGCTGCTTTTCAGAAGCATGGGATTACTTTATGAACCTCTCCAGAACTGAGAACCAGCAAGGACAAGAGAGAAAGAAAAGAAAACATAACTCCCTCCCCCCACCCCAGGGCTGGGGTCACAGCGGATGGGCAAGTGTTCTGCCTCTACTGAGCTATGGTCCAACCCTGATTGTTTTTATCCATTGACAAACTCAAGTTTGACCTAAAGAGGGTTATTTATCAGAAAAAAACAAGTACTTGTGGTTTGTCTGATATCAAATCGGCTTCCATTTTTCTCTATGCGAATGACAGTTTTTTCTTCTTGCCCCCCTCCCCCACCCCACTTGGTTTCTGGATTGTTGAGACAGGGTCTCTCTATGTAGTACTGACCTGGAACTCTCCTCTGTAGATCAGGCTGGCCTTGAACTCACAGAGATCTGCCTGCCTCTGCCTACGTGCTGGGATTAAAGGCGTGCATCATCATGCCTGCCCTTTTGTTTTTGTAGTGACACTTTTTTTTTTCTGGGGAGGGACAGTAATGAGCCATGGCTAGGAGGGAGAACAGGGCACATCCATTCTTAAATGGTTTGGTGGAAACTATTTTAAAAACGCACCTTGGGCTCAGAGTGCATGCAGTGGAGGCCACAGAACCACCAGCACACAGAATCTTAGAGAAAATCCTGGAGGGAGGGACATCAGAGCTAAGAGCCCTAGTGTGAGGCTCTGCTGGCTCCTTCTGCTTCCGCCTCGGGTTTTCTTTTTCTAGTTTTTAGTAACGAAGATATATTGCTTTTATGACCAGAAAAGATATTAAGACCATATTTCCGCTCTCCATAGTTGGGAAAAAATTAATCAAGTATTATTCCCTCTAAAATGCTTTTATAGGCACATGCTAGCCTTCAGAGGACATAGCATTTGTCTTGGTTCATAGGAAAACTGAGTGGATGAGGCAGAGCTGTCTTTTTATTTAAAGAACAAGAATCCCGATGGACGGAGAGATGGCTTATGGGCTCTGCTGCGCTTGCAGAGGATTGGTGCTCAGTTCCCAGCACCCACATTGGTGGATCACTAGCACTAATAACTCCAGCTCCAGGGGTTCCAACACCTTCTTCTGGCCTTCACAGGTACCTGCACACATGTGGTGCATATACAGACCATACACACACACACACACACACACACACACACACACACATACACACACACACACACACACACACACACACACACACACACACACACACCAATTTACAAAACAGAATTTCTAAGATGTCAGAATACTCTTGGGGGAACATAAAACACATTAGGAAATAAATAAAAATATGTCCTCTTTGCCTCCCTCCCCGCAGCATGGTCCAGAAGTCCAGATTGCTTCACTTCACTGCGGTGTCTTATTTTCCAGCTTTGTCCAGTCTTTGCGTGATGCTCTGTCAGGTCTCTGAGGTTGTGTGTTCTCCTTGCAGGTGTGGGAGCCACCTCTGGGGTTTCCGCCCACTCCTCCAGCACGTCTGGGGGCAGCACCTTGTCCCCCTTCCAGCATGCTCACAAAGGTGAGGAGGGTGCCCCGCTGTGGGTCCCCTGGAACTCAGGGAGCTGAGAGGGAGCGAGGAGTGGGAGGGGACAGCTGTCAGCAATGAACGCGGAGCCCTCCCCTCTTGTCACTTCTCCACTGTGACAGAATGGCACGCTCACACTCAGAGCCCATCCCACTTCCCCACCAAGCACCTGGGAACAGCATGCAACCAAGAGCAGTAAAGACACATACATCACCCATCTCCCACATCTGGCAGCGTTACAGATGCACCAGATGACATCAGGAGGCTGAACACCCTCGAGGGGCTCTCAGCTCTGCACCCCCTTCAGATGGCCCAGGGCACCAGATGCCTGCCACGGCCTCTTTGGGTGACAGGTCATTTGGATCCTGCTTCATAGGAACCAGGTGTCCTGTTGGTTATTTTGGAAAGTCAGAGGGGGGGTTTTGGATAGTCCCGGTATCCAAAGCGGCATTAGGGAACCGAGCAAACAGCTCCAGGAATAAGCAGCAGCCAGGCAGAAGTGGAAACAGCAGGAGTTGTCGGGTCAGTTCAGCCCTCTCTACCCTGGGGCTCTTGCTCTTACTCTGGGGATGAGGTGCCAAGTAAAACCAAACTAGGAATCCCATCTCTAGCCAGAGGAGTGGCCTTTTGCTTGGAAGTGCTTAAACCTGGACTATGCTGTCTCTGGACACTTGTTCATGGGCCTCTCGTCCTCATTGCTACCTTTCTCTCAGGATCTCAGAGTTAGTAAAGCCAAGAGCAAGCACCCCAGGAACGGCCTCTTGGTTTTGCATCCTGGTCTTCCCGATCTAACACGCATGAGCCTGCTTGACAGTGTGGGAGCAGCCTAGCAACCAAAGCACACCTTGAGGGCCCGGTCCTCGGGTCAAGTATGACCCCTGGAAGCATCCCTGTGCCTGGGTCTTCTGCTGAGTGCTGTGGCTTGGAGGAGGGGCCCTTGAAAATATTTATCCTCCTCTTCCTGATGCCAGCAGAGCTCTCGGGCCAAGGACACCTGGCCACCGCCCTGATTATTGCCATGTCTACCATCTTCATCATGGCCATCGCCATCGTCCTCATCATCATGTTCTACATCATGAAGACTAAGCCTTCAGCTCCAGGTGACATCCCTGCACCCATACCCCTATTCCAACACTCTGTCATCTTCCCTGAGTGAACCAGAGGGCTCATGCCAACCTTCTTCTCTTTCTTCAAGCAGCCTGCTGTACCAGTCCCCCAGGAAAGAGCCCAGAAGCCCCAGCTAGCACACATGAAGAGAAAAAGGAGGCCCCAGGTCTGTACACACAGCCCATGCTGCCCCATACACAGTCTCTAGCATGAAGGTGGAGTATGTCCACCTTGTCCTCAAACTTGACAGACCAGCCTGCTGACCACCTCTGATTCCAGGGCCCTTGCTCGGGGATGGAGGTGGGGGGCGGGGGGATGTGCCCACTTGTTCTGTCCCCAGGTGGGAAGCTGGTCACCAGGGATGTCTACTGAAAAGGAAACATGAAGGGAGATCCAAGTTCAGAGCCACAGGCTAACACTCACTCCCCCCCAACTTCCATTCCTACAGACAGTGTGGTGACTTTCCCTGAGAATGGGGAATTCCAGAAGCTGACAGCAACACCCACGAAGACCCCCAAGAGGTATGTAGAACAGGGACTTGCCTACACTCACTAGTGCGTGGAACAGTCCTAGTTCCAAAGACTGAGCTGCCAGCTGGGTCCTTATAAATCCTTGAGCAGCCAGGCAAACTGTATCAGTGAATGTACTGGATGGCTGGTGCCTGGCCTGGGGATGCTCCAAGGATGTTGGAGAGCAGCTTCCCAACGGAAGGAGGCAATGTAAACTGGCATTGGATTTCTGTTTCTTCATTAACTACAGGAGCTGGTGTATGCTGGGGAAGGTGTAACACCTACCTGATACTCTCCATTTGCCCACTCTCCCTATCCCCAATCTCCCAGATGCCCTGAGCCCTCCCCCCTTCTCTTCAAACTGAGGAAAGACATGAATCTCTTGATACACACGTCCTGGTCAGGTTCTCACAGCTGCCAGCAATGCTTAAAATGCCTTAAAGGCAACAGCACATGCACCGGGCCTAAGACTGGCCTTGTCACATCCCTAAGGGTAACAGGTTGATTCCGTCCCCATTTCCATAACTGGACCAAGATCACATGCTAGTGAGTAACAGAGTGGGAGCCAAAGTCCAGGCTGTCAATTAGGCTTGGTGTAATAAGCCACTGGGGGAAGAGAGTTACCTGATGGTATTTTAGCACATTTACCAAACACTGGATCATAGCACCCCCTCTGCTTTAAAATCAACTAAGAGGAAAGTCATTGCCTATTGTCCCCACAGTCATTTGGACTTGGGCCTTGCACCTTTTCAGCACTGGTTCTCAGTAAGGCCCATAGCTTGAGTTTCTTCTGAAGGAAAAATCTGCATGACTATACTTGGGGAAAAATAGACTCTTTGCGTGTATAAATATTAAGCTTCTGCTCTAAAGACGGGTCATGAGCCTTTTTGTCCCTACAAACAGGTTTTGGGTCTTGAAAATGGGATTTGGGAGCTATGTGGTGATCTGTGGAAATGCCATGAGGTAATCTGTGAAGATACCATCATGCATTCCCATTTGCTTGCCAGAGTTAGTGAAGGGGATGGGCCAGTCACCTCCCTCGTAGGCCCTCAAGCATAATGACAAAGTGGATCTGTTAGATGGTTTCATAACTGCTTGTATTTTTTCTTTTTTCTTTATTCTGGCTCCAGGGCTGTGTTTGCATATGGCCTTCAGTAACACTCAAATATAATGTGTGGCAAATATAATCCCTTTTTCTAAAGGTCTTTAGCTAAACCAAGGAAGCAAGCAGAATGCTCTGCAAAAAAAGAATATTGTTTTGCTTTTATTTTTGAATAGTTTGAGGGCTTAATCTCTAACCCACAGGTGCCAGGTCCTGTGTGACCTGAGCAGTGAGCAGCATGAAGCACACGAGGCTGCATAGTTGGATGTATGTGATCACCTACCCTGCCTACCCTCTGGGGCTCTCTGTAGCTCCTATAAGGCACATATCTAAGGCCAGGCCACTAGTCAAGAGGGCCTTCCCTGACATTAAGGTGCACTTTTTTGTGTGTTCCTGGTTATCCTAGAAACCCTGCACGGATTGAGTTCCAGCCTTCTCATCTTAATGACTTAACATGAAGACCCACGGTTATGCTTGTCTTGGCTGGGGTTAAGTACAGGAATCTAGAACACATTCAGTGAATCTTTACCAAACACCCGTGGTATCAGGCAGTGTGGAGAGATGTCAGGTGCAGTCCTCAATGGTGTCCCCAGCCTCTCAGAACCCACTGCTTCTTAGGAGGCCCATGCAAACATCTACAGGCTTTTCTGTACCAGAATGGCTTGTCAGGGAACAGGATGTCTCTTTCTCACCCCATGTGCCCTTACCTAGAGCTCAGGAGATGTAGAAAAGGCTTAAGGAACAAGACATTGTACAGTGCTCTCCACGCCTGGGACCAAGACCAGTGCCGAGGCAGCTCCTCTGGGCTGCAGTTCCCCAGGCTTCACTAACAGGTGTCCCGCTTGTGTCCACAGTGAGAACGACGCCTCCTCTGAGAACGAGCAGTTGCTGAGTCGCAGTGTGGACAGTGATGAGGAGCCAGCCCCGGACAAGCAGGGGTCCCCAGAGCTGTGTCTGCTGTCGCTAGTTCACCTGGCCAGGGAGAAGGCTGCAGCCAGTAACAAGTCTGCTGGGGTGAGGCTCTGGCAGCATGACCCATGACACACTGGTGCAGGGACTTAGAGCCATCAGACAAGATGAACATAACCTCTCGTGCTCAGTTAGTTCCTTAGGATGCTGTTTCTCCCAATGGTCCCAGCTAGAACAATGCGCAAAGCAACAGATTAAAAAAAAAAAAACAAAAAAAAAACTTAATTATACTGCTTATAGACAAAAAAGTTTTTTTTAATCACTGCAAATGCCAGAGAACAGGAAAAAAAAACTTCCAAAAACATACTGTGCATATCCAAGCAGTTACACACACACACACACACACACACACACACACACACACACACACACACATACACACACACACACACATGCACACACGCCTGTGTGTATTTGTGGGTTCTGAATCCATGAGTCAACTAAGCATAGTTTCTTTAAAACTGTGCCTGTACTAAACATGTACACTTCTTATTGTCATTAATCTCTAAACCATGCATTGCAATAACTATTTACACAACACTTCATTATTAGAAATATTTTCAAGATGATTTAAAGTATATAGGACGATGTGAACAGAATCTAAGCAAATAGACATTTTACATAGTAGTCTTGAGCAACCACAGGCTTTGATATCCTGAAAAGTTCTAGAAACAAGAAATAATATATATGTGAACACATGCGTGCACACACAGACACAGATACACAGACACAAATATACATACACACATCTCTCTTATACAGCAGTAGACTCACTTGTACAAATTGTCCAGAGGGTTTTATCACTAAAGCAAGCTACTTTGGAATGCCTGTGGCACAAGGTGTGCTCTGAGGCTCTGGCATATGTTCCTGTTTTTAGTCTGTGCCTCAGGCAGCCCAGCCAAACCATGTGGCAACATTGTTGGTAGTAAAGAAAGTCCCTACGGGGATCTTGGATCTGGCCTGGTCCTGCAGGATACTTCACTCTGGGTGCAGTGATCTCGCTAAAAGAACCTAGAGACCATGCTGCCTGCCTGGCATGGTCTTTTCACCCAGGGCCACTCACTGCCTATCTTTGCCCTGAGCTCTCTGCCCTGGGGAAGAGAGCCTTCCACAGTTCTGCCAGCCGCTGCATGCATGGCTGCCCCAGTGGCCATCTGGGGTCCTCATTGTCAACCTTCTGAATACACTGATGACAGCTCTAACATTGATGTCCCTTTAAACCCAGTAGCATCCCTCTTGTGCACAGAGGGTGTTTGCATGGAAACCCTAGGGACATTCTTCCTCCTGCTATGTTTGGGCGGCTTCCACCTAAGGCCTTGGCACAGCAAGTATGCCTAGCCGTCAGGGCCAAGCCAGTGCAAAGGGAAGATCTGGGACTCCTCGTCCATCTTCCCCCTTTCTGAAGATGAGCATTCTCTTACTTGTTCTTTATAGATCCAAAGCCGGAGGAAAAAGATACTGGACGTGTATGCCAACGTGTGTGGTGTTGTTGAAGGTAAGGACTAGAGAACCACTCAGAGCTGGATGTGGTGGGCACACCTTTAGTCCCAGCACCCGAGAGGCAGAGGCAGGCAGATCTCTGTGAATTTGAGACCAGCCTGGTCTACATAGCAAGTTCCAGGTCTGCCGGGGCTACATAGTGAGACTGTCTTAACAAACAAACAAACAAAAATGAAAAAGAGCCATTCGGGGCTCACTGAGATGATAACCCCCCAATGCCAGGCTCTTGTGTGAGGAACTGAGGACAGTCATCCACATCGGATGGGGATTGTCAGGCCGCCATCAGAATGACCAAGTGAACGGACTTCTGATGTGGAGGGAAAGGGAATCTGGTTCCTGCTTAGGCTGAAGCATCCTGTAGTGCTTCTGTCACAGGACAAGAGACTCCCAGTGCGTATGCTGCTGCAGTGCCTCATAGGGACAGAGTGATGGGGTCCCGTAGCTTCTGTGCTTATGTCCACATCAGTACTGTCATCAGGGAAATGTTCGGTGACACTGAGTAGTCAGTGCAATGGGGACACATTCTAAGAAACACGTGGGTATGAGATTTTTGTCCTTGTGTCAATATAGAATATACAGTCACAAACTAAGATGGTGGAGGCATCAGTCGGTGTACTATGGAGTGAGCCTTTTCTGCCACTGACAGAAACATCATCATACAGGTTATGGCAGTTTCACAAGGCACACTGAACGGGCCATGGAGGGCTCTCCCCTCCTTCTAGAACGGCCACATGAGCAGCAAGGTCAGACTGCCTGCCGTGGGCAGGTAAGAAGTAACAGGATAAGAACCATAAACATTCCAGTGTGTGATCCTCCTGGACGATACAAAATCCAGCCCCTAAATTAGCTTCTATTCACCCTGGAAATAACCCCTCACTACTTAAGTCAGGGGACTTTCCTCCCTCCCGCCTTGCTGGCATCCCTCCACACACCCCTGGTCTGGTTGAACTGTGGGACTGAGGAGTCACACGCTGCCTGCCACTCATGCCCCATGTGGGAGAAATACCGGCCCTGAGCTGGGGCAGGCTGGTTAGATGCTCTGTTTGGCCAGAGGTAACCACTGAGCAGGAATTCCAGGGCCAAGAATTCTTCTTGGCTGCCTTCAGAAACATGGCATGGCTCCATAAGTACATGCCTGGTCAGCCTGCTTGATCAAGCTTGGCATGGTGGGTGCTGCTAGCTGCCCAGAAGAATATGGTCTGAGAGTTACATTCCAGCACCCCCAAAGCTCTTCTCTGTTCCAAAGAATGTCTTGGCTTTGAAAGACCAAACCCAAGGGACTGTGGCTTTCAAATTAATTTAGAACTCTAACCATAAGAAGAGCCCTCCAGTGAGTCCTATGGGGTGGAAGCTTCAAGTCTGTGCCCTCGGGTGCTCCTTGACAGCCCAGGCATGTGTGCTTCCTAATGCCACAGTAATAAGACACAGCCAAGGCTAAGTCCTTCAGGCCAATATGGCTTGGCTCCCAAGACCATTAGAATCACATGAAGACCTTAATACTCACTACCTCTGCCTATCCAGCCACCCTGCCCTCCTCAAGATCCCAACGTGGTTAGTATGGGGTGAACCCCAGACACCAAAGTCCTCCAGTTCTTTTAAAACTTTCCATTGTGGTATATCCCCCCAACCCCCATAGACAGAGTGTCTCTGTGTAACAGCCCTGGCTGTCCTAGAACTCACTTTGTAGACCAAACTTGCCTTGAACTCATAGAGATCTGCCCTGCTTCTGCCTCCCAGGTGCTGGGATTAAAGGCGTGTGCCACCACACCCGGCTTGTGGTATTCTTACCACTTGGTGCTAAGAGATAATAGAGCAAAGCCTGGGTGCTCTTCTCCCAGCTTCTCCTGATGGTAAAAGCTCACAACCCCCCCCCCCCAAAAGTTACAACCAAGATGTTGATGTTGACACAGTAGACAGTGACCCCTTCCACGACCACAGGGGATTCTCCTGCAGCCCTGTCAACCACTAATCTGTTCTTAATGCTGTAATTTTGTCATTTCAAGACTATTATAAAAGTCAAATTGGGGGCTGGAGAGATGGCTCAGTGGTTAAGAGCACTGGCTGCTCTTCCAGAGGACCCAGATTCAATTACCAGCACCTACATGGCAGTTTACAGCCATCTGCAACTCCATTTCCAGAAGATCCAACGCCCTCTTCTGGCCTCTGTGAACACTGCACACACATGGTGCACAAGCATACTTGTAGGCAAAACACCCATACATGTAAGATACACATTATTAAACCTTGTTCTAAGTTGAATCATACAGTACCCACTCAGCTAATGCTGGTCTCACATACCATAATTCAGTCCAGAGTTAACCGGGTTGCCGAGTATGTCAGTGTCGTGGGAGCTTTTGAGTAGCCTTGGAAATGTCTACATAGGCAATCGTATCTGCAAACAAGGACAGTCTTACTCCTTCCTTTCTAGCCTGTGTGCACTCCTTCTTCTCTTGTCTGGCTCCACTGCTTTGGCACGATGTCAACTATGAGCACTGAGAGCAGAGCCCAGGTCCTCCTGATCCCAAGGAAATGCTCAGCTCTCACCACTAAGTACAAGGCTGGCTCCGGACTTTTTATAAAAGTCATACCAACTTTTGAATACTAGAACCAGAATTACACCCCTAAAATAAATGTCACTTATCATAGTACATAATTCTTTGTTCCTTTGTTGAACTCTATTTGTTAATATTTTGTTCAAGATACTGGTTCGGGTATCAGATTGGGAGATAGTTCCTTCTTTCTATTTTCCGGAAGAGACTATTTAGAACTTACGTTAATTCCTTTTAAACACTTGGGAGGTGTTTAATACTGAGCCCCCTTGACTTCGGTTTGTGACATGTAACCGTGACCGTCCCTCTTCTAGGTCTCAGCCCCACAGAGTTGCCGTTCGACTGCCTTGAGAAGACCAGCCGGATGCTCAGCTCCACATACAACTCTGAGAAAGCGGTCGTGAAGACGTGGCGCCACCTTGCCGAGAGCTTTGGACTCAAGAGGGATGAGATTGGGGGCATGACTGATGGCATGCAGCTCTTTGACCGCATCAGCACCGCGGGCTACAGCATCCCAGAGCTGCTCACGAAGCTGGTGCAGATCGAGCGGCTAGATGCTGTGGAGTCCCTGTGCGCAGACATACTGGAGTGGGCCGGGGTGGTGCCGCCTGCCTCCCCGCCCCCAGCTGCATCCTGAGGAGTGTGCCCTGGACTGTCCTCCCTGGGACCAGCTGGGGATCCAATGAGGGCCTCTGCAGCTGTGAGTGGTGCCATCAGACTGCCAAAACTCAAGGCTTTTCCTGGTGGGTTGACGTATTCCTTAGGCTGACCTAAGGAGCCTGTTGAGCACTCAAATGAACATGTGGGGATGACACGGGTGAAGAATCGGATCCTGTCTTTAAGGAAGCCCTTGGTGGGCGACAGAGGGCATGCTACAGACCATATCACTAGCACATCAAATAGGCTAAATGAAGGGATGCTGAGAAAATGTAGCGAAAGCTCTAAGAAGGGTGATGGCTTCTCGTGGAGTTGAGAAATGGGGGCATCCTTATGAAGAAAATAGCTTGACAGCTTTAGTAAAATGGCTACGAAGTCCAGCCATCCCAGTTCCTGCATTGCTTCAGACGGAGCAGTTTGTTGGCGTGCTCTACGGTTCCAGGGGTAACTTGACCTGTGTTTGCAGTCGCCCACAGTGACAGAAGCCTTGCAGTTACTAGTGGAAGAACGTGCGGTATGTCACTGGCACACAAGGCGTGTCTGCCCAGCCGAACCCAAGTGTGGGCAGATCTGGCCTCTAGTATCACTCACAGACACAAGCAGTTACAATGTGTCAGGCTGTTTTTACTTCAAACAGGTGTGTGTTCTCTCTAGAAAGGGAAATGGTGACTTCCTAAGAGTTTGACCATGCCTGATTCTAGACTTCAGGAGTGGCCAAAATTCGTGGATGAGGCTTGTGTGAGTTCAGACACAGCATCCTGAGCCAGTGAGGGATGGTGGAGCCTGAGGTGCAGTACAGCCCTGGGGCCTGGATCCTGACCCTGGTGGAGTCATCCTAGGGGGCTGTCTTCTCCTCCCCAAGACTGAGCTTTTCTCCTGCAAATGAGAGCTTGGTCTTCATGTTTGTGGTCAGGAAAGTTAAGGCTCAGGTGAGCAAAAGAAAATGGAGGCAGGACAGGAGAGGCCAAGGGAGCCTCCATGGGGTAAATACAGTGTGGGCGGCCACACAAAATGAGAGTATAAGGTAAACTCATATCCGGTATTCTCATGTAAGGGCAATTGTAGGACAGAGCATTTACAGAGACAAAACTTATAAATGGGCATTGTTCTTGGCAGATTCTTACTTCACCTCTAACTGCCAAGAAATGGGAAGTTGGGGAGCTTTCCCGCCAGGGGGTTAATGCCCAACCGGCTGCTGGGCTCCCTCCTGAAGGCTGACGGTAGTGATCATTAAATTACAATAAAGCCTCTGATTTAGAATGCTGTGGGTTGGCTTTTCGTTTGTTTTTTAAAGTCATAGGACTGAACAAAAGCTTTTGGGGTGGGAATCGGTGGTATATTTAAAACCATCAAGCAATTTCCTACCATTGAATATAGAACAGACTGTGAGAGGACCATTGTTAGGTCCTGAATATTTAATATGATCATTTTACTGTGTCCGTTTGTGCTGCTTGTTTTTTTTTTTTTTTAAGATGGTGTTTGCTGTATCCTGCAAGTTAAACAGTCTGTTTAATTATCCTTTTAATTCCTCTTTGAGATCCCGCAGTGCCCCTTACCCCTGGTCTTCAGTAATGATGCTGAGCTTCCCCTTAATTAGACTGTAAATGTCATCTGTGATGAGTGAGCAGGTCTAGGACAGCAGGCTCCTCTCCTCCCAACTGTCCTTCTGGTGAAGAATGGGCAGCTGCAGTCGACAGTGTGGGCCGGCTTCAGTTCACCCTATTAGATTTCAGGGCTTGAGGGCAGCCAGCATCCATGTTGTTTCATTGACTCCCAGCTTGCTGATTTAGGGGAGCTAGTCCCTTGTCATTTACTTTATTTGGCAATAAATCCAGGAAGGGTTTGCTACAATGAGCTTTGCCTATGCTGTAGAAATCAGAACCAACAAGACCGTCACGATTCTCACTGACCAATGCTGGCACTCCATGCTGCCATTTTTGTCTGGAGACTGTCATTATTTTTCAGTACTTAAAAGTATTTAGTAAACACCCAGGCTAGGCCTGAGGCCCTTAGCCGGTGAAGTCGTAATTGTGAATATTTTATGTAATTGTTTATATAACTTATTATATTTTTATAAGATCAATAAACGTGTTAATAAAAAGAAGGCTACAGATTGGTATCCCGTGAACTCTTATTGAGTGGTGCGGTGTGAGTGGAGAAGGCCTGACTGCTGTGTTCCTGGTCATTGTATTGTGTGTGATGAGACTATGGGGTTGTGGCCATCCATAAATAAGGTACATAAATGTTAGAGCAGGAAGGTGTTCACTAACAGGAGCAGGCACATCTGGGGAATACGTGAAAACATCGTGGGACACTGTTTTCCATGTGGCCACCATTAGTTATAAACAACACGTTAGCTGCTATGATGGTGTTACTACCAAATACAGTGTCTTAGAGCACAGTCGTTTCTGTCTGGCTTGGGGTTCAGTAAGGGCTAGTGGGGTCAACTGGCCTGGGCTGTGCTCAGGCTTCTGTCTGCTGGAAAACCTTGAAAAGGGCAGTTCTGCTCCGTCATCCCTCATCCTCCTCCATAAACCAGCTGGAGGCAAGGAGCAGGAAGGAGGCCGTGTGAAAGGTTGGGCTCAGAACTGGCTCCCTGTCCTTCCTGGCTCATCCCACTGGCAAAGCAAATCAAGTGGCCAAACCCGGAGGTAAGAGTAAGGAAGGAGACTACCCCAGTGTACAAGGAGAGAACAAGTAACAATGAGCATGGGGAATCAGAGGACGTGTCAATCAGCCGCAAACACTCAACAGCAGCAGCTGAGTTGTTAGGCATCTTGTTGGTGTCCAGAGAGTTGGATGGAGAAATGCTCATTGCAAGGGAACAAAACCTGTCGGGTGTCAGAATGGTCCAGATATCAGAAAATTTTGTTTCCCTTAGCAGGAGCATAATTTTAAAATCCCAGTGTGGAGATAAGGTGAAAATGCGAAGAGAGGGCTGAACCTATAAGCCCGACAGTCACCCCAAACATGCACATCACACATCCTAGAAACACCTCACGTTTCCAAGGACACGGGCTGCTGGTGTTCCTGTATGCATCTTTCTCCTTGGCACCACTGGCATGGCTTACATTTTGATTAGGGACCATGTTCCTCTTCTGAACAGCAACGTCAAGCCTCTTCTCTATGCCTCAGTTTCTTCTCTATATATGGGGTAATAATAATAATAACACGTTTCTTTTGGGGATTGTTGTGTAAATCAAGTAACAAATACAAAGCACTTCCCCTAGCACGTGATGTTCAATAAATGTGCACGATAGTCACAGCATTATTAGCTGTTCTTTCAGGCTATGGAAACTAATAAGCTTACTGCAACATTTTCTAAGTAGGTTTTGGTTAACAAAGATTATTGTAGGACTTGCTGGGATCACCACTAGAAGCATTAGTCTTGGCGTAGGATAGAAGGGAAGAGGAGGTTGGCTGGACTCTGGCACACAGATTCTGTCCTTCCCCAGTGGGGAAGTTGCAGCCCTTTCACAGAAGACTCTCTGTCTCCATGCCCTGCAGGCCCTAGACCATGGAATCTACTGTAGGAGAGGTTCATGGCTCCCTCATGCCACAGAGAGTACTTCTGTCTTTAAATCCACTTTTCAAATGCCAGAGACAACTGCCGTGAACTAACCTGACCTCTAAGAACATACCAAACATCCTACAGTTCATTTGCAACTCAAAATTCAGTGTACAACATAGATAAAAGAGTCCTTCAAAGTTGCAGTACATCAAACAAATGTGGTTACTTTGACTTTTATACCTAAAGCTATGGTATCTGGAGAGGGTTGAGACAACCCCCTACAGTGTTGTATGGCCTCGGCCTGCACAGTTACAGAGACCTGGTCTTTAGTGGCATTGTGTGTCGGATGTATCTTTATCAGTAGTTTCTGTGGTACTTCTTCAGGAAGGGGAACTTAACACAAGCAAGACAAGCTATGCTCACACTAGCAGGGTAGTTCATTGGGCATGGATGAGTCTAGGAAGGCCTGGTCTTCAGATATTGCTGTACGAAGTCTGATGATACCTGGAGGAAGTATATAGGCCCAGGGATGAAGGAGGCAGGTGTTGGCTCCACTCCCACCTGCTACCTTAACATCTCATCACCTCAATATTACTAGGGTCTTACTTGGATGACCCCACCCCGATTATTATTGCTCTGTATTTGGGGGGGGGATTATCAATATAATGGATCGTGGTCCTGTTCTAACCCCCGAGGAATTGTAGTTGCAGGTATGGCTGTAGGGTCTGGTCTTGAGCATTGCAGCTGTGTGAACTTGGACCTGGTACACAGTGTCAGACCTCACTGCCCAGCTACCTGCAGGAAATGTGTGTTGTGTTCTCTGAAGCTCCCCAGTCTACCTGAAGCCTCTCTCCACACTGCTCTCCGCTCTGACCCTTTGTCAGAGCACACACCTTAGAGATTGTACAGATCTGCAGCAGAACCAAATTACATTTAACTTCTGCTAAGTGTCCCCGCCCCCTACCCAGACCCAGAGACATTGACCAGATTTGCAGTTTTGCTCCCAACCTCCCCTAGGCAGGAAGCCAGCCCCCAAAATGGCTGCCAGGTCACTAACTGATGTTCAGTCCCTGCACCTGGCACCTTTTGTGTGACACAGCTTACTAATCAGGATGTTTTACCGAAAAGTTTCTACTCAGCCTTTTAAGCAACTATTGGATTCCAAGTAAGTGTACAACATTGTATGCTTGCTTATATTCATTTGACACGGTTTCATTCAGCTGTCTCCATGTATCCAGCCAATTGTCATTTTATTATGCTAATGTTCACATAATATGCTGTGTAGATTATTAAGCTTTAGATATATAGCAGGTTCTTGAGAATTTTTATAGCTATAAATTACATTGCTATAAACATAACAGACACTTTTAATATGTATTCCTTGTTTGAAATTATTTACTTAGGCCAAGTCATCCAAACTAATAGGGGGACTAACTAATAGTTATATATATTCCATTACATTTCCATGACAAACGGAGCATAGAGGGACTTACTTTAAGGTAAATAACTAACTGAAAGATGATCATTAGTGTTTATCACTTCTGGGTAATACAGCAGATTGATACCTGCTTCTGTACCACCGTATGAAGGACAGAAGTAGACTATAAAAAGCAGTAGACCATATTCGGATAAAGAAAGAGCTAAAGACAAGAGAAATGAACAAGCTTCCATGATGAAGCAAGAAGGCCAGTGACCAATGTACCATGATGCTCCAATCCCTGCCAGGCTGAGAACAGCCTGTCACCTCGATAGGCAGAAAGACAGTCTGTGCCACAGAGACTCGAACAGGGGCTGGATACAGAGAAGGATGTGGTGCAGGGACAGAGCTTGGATTCTCAGTGCAGGCCCTGGAGATAACAGCCAGACACGGCCATACATATACTGCAGCCACTGCCCAGACAAACTCAGGGATCCTGAAACGTCATGCCAAATGTGGTACAGTCTCCTGAAGGCTGACTAGGGAGACACCTCCCAGAGAGACAGAGGCAATCACAGATGGGTGGGACTGGCCCCTTCAGAGATTCAAGTCACAGAAAGTTTCAGACATGAGCCCCAGAATATCAGAGACAAGTCCAGCCTTGTTTGTGTAGTGAGTTCCAGGACAGCCAGGACTACACAGAAACCCTGTCTTGGAGGGAAAAAAAGAAAAGAACCCCCAGGCCATGTGAGGTGGGTATGAAGGTGGGTGGTGAGACTCAGAGAGAGGTGGACCAGTACTCCACAGGGAGTAGCTTGCCTCGGAGAGAATGACTAATGGAACTTCGGGCAGCTTCTTACCTGGTTACACCCCTGATGCCACTGTACTACTGAGCTATCTCTGCAGATCCAGGCCATTTGATCTTGAATTTGCTCCAGTATTCAGGCTGGAAGGTACGGACTTCGGGGAATGTTCCTCCACTCCTAGAATGGTCCTTCACAGCAAGCCCAGCTCACTGGCAGGACTCAAGAGTTTATTTTCCCTGTATCAGAAATCATAGGGCCATGACTAGAAGGGACCAGACCCCACCCCCATCTTTACACACTGCCACCTGCAATGTACAACTCGCCCTAATGGGCTGAGGATGGCTGCTCACTGCAGCTGCAACCCAAGAATTCTTCTGTAAGTCGCAAGTGCTTTATTTAGTACCAGAGTGCACTCTGTCGCTGCCCACTGAACACAAATAAAATGCTTCCTGAATGATCTCGGGACTCCGCTGGGTGGGGGGTGAGCATGGGTAGATGGTAATGCTGGCTGTGTCCTCTACGAGAGCCCTTCCTGCAGGAAAGAAAGATAGTCATATATACAAATGCCTTAGACAGTTGTTTGTACTTCCTGAAGGCAGAAGTTGGCTTTAAATATTAAGTTGGCAGACAGAACACATCCAGATAGAGACAACTACTTGACACACTCCAGTGTTTTTGGTCTTTTCTTGTCATATGTAATGCCTTATGTGAGAGTCAAAGCCAAATGGAACACTTTTCAGAGAGACTTTTAAATGATAATCTGTATGTTAGCTTGACTCCAAAACAAGAAACTGGCCCTTGATGTGTTCTTTGTTCCTACACAGGTGCATCTTCGTGGCCCAAACTGAGAGAAAGGCTCCCTTCCACTTTCTCTGGGAGGGAAACACTCATCAGTAAACTATGAGCAATGTGGTCCCCTAGCATCTCCCAGCCTCTGTCCCTTGTAGAAGTCTATACTAACAGTACTATGGTCAGCATCTCAGAAGGGAGTATATGTTCTGCTGATGGATGGGAAAACTGCAGCAGCAGTGACACAGAGCAGGAGGCAGCTGGATGCCAGGTTGGAGCAACTGCCACTTCTGGGGTGGCATGTGCAGACCCACAGCTGCCTGGGCTCGGAAATGGAGGATAATGGCCAGTCTTGGCTTAGAGATGCCAGTGGCAGCCACCAGTAGGTTCTATCTGACAGGACACATACTTGCTGAAAAGGTCCTGCTCTGGTAACCCTACTATGTTTACTTGGCTCTTCAACTCAGACCTTCACCCACCATGGATCCAGCCTTGACTTTCTCAGGTTTTTCAGGTGAGGTTTTCTCACAAGGTCCTGCATGCAACCTGAACTCCAGCAGGCAAGATTCATCTTTGATGTTTCCTCCCAACACTGGCCATTCTCCTTGCTGAACAGAGAAGTGGGTGAGAGCCCCTGCTGATCTCCCAGTGGCACCATGGAACTTCACTTCAGACCTGAGGTAGGGTCTTTCCTTCTTCTGGATTGTTCCCTCAGCGACACCTGAGAGGCTCTCAGGAAGTTCGCTCCAGTGTCATTTCTGACCTTGAGGGATGCTTCAAGCAGGAAACTATCTCTGGCCCATTCAGGCCTACAGAATGGGCAGTAGCCCCTCTGTTCCCTGCAGCCGCTGGAGAAATCAGTGTGGAGAATTCCCAGAAAGCTAAAATAAATCTACGATATAATCCCAGCTATGTCACTCCCTGACATTTGCTCAAGGACTTGACATCCTACTGCACAGACACCTTCTCAGCCACGTTCACTGCTGCTCATTCACAATTGCTAGGAAATAGAAACAACCTAAATGTCCTACAACCTATGAATGGATAATGAAGATGTGGTACATATAAACTAGGGACTATTATCTGGCTGTAAAGAAAAACGATTAACATGAGTTTTGTAGGTAAATGGATGGAACCAGAAAAGATCATATGGAGTGGGGCAACGCAGACCAGAAAGACAATCATCAGACATGGCATGTTCTCTCTCACTGTAGGCTCCTAGCTCCAAATCTTTAGATCTGAGTACATAGCCTGTAGTAACTACAGAAACCAGAAAAATGAAATGGAACCATTGCCAGGATGGGGGCGGCTGGGGAGCAACAGAGAGGAATAGTAGGGTACCAGTGATCTGATCAGGGAAATGAGAAAAGGGGGAGGGTCCTTAGGGAAGGAAGGGAGGTAAACACAGAAGAAGGTGGAAGGTAAAGGGAGACTAGCAGGATCTAGTGATCTGCTAGGGGAAATGCAGAAGGTTGAGAGAGGTGAATACAGAAGAAAGAGGGAGGTAGAATAACATTAAGGATGTCTGAAAAAGCCACAATGAATCATACTATTAACTATTTACCAAACAAACAAAAAAAAAACCCAAAAACTTCAACCTATTATATACATAACTTTGTGTATAAATGCACATATATTGTTTTGATGAGCTTTTCTCATCTGGGCTGATGGCGCTTCCTCCAAGAGTCAAAGACCACCTTAAAAAAAAATACCAGCATAAAAAGCCCTCTTTTGAGTTGTTGGCCAGAACTGTCCAAGAGACTACTAAAACATACAGCCTCTTGCTGTTACTCTTGGTCACCTCCAAGAGGTAGAAGAAGTCCTGATTCCTGAAGAGACCCCTGACCTGAAAGCCCCATCCCTAAGGACTAGCTTTCATGATACCAGCAGGTACCACGCAAGCTTCCAAAAGAGGGAAAGAACCCACAGTCCTACCAGGCTATGATGTCTATGAACTACATCAACAACCAGCACGGCACGAGAATCCTAAGGATTCAGTAGTGGCATGCATACCAACTCTCTAAGTGGACTTAAGGTCCAGTCAACAAGAGAAAGACTGTGCCTGGTACTGCAAATCTAGCCAACCATTCAGTGTTAGTTGAAACCATGGTTACTGAAGAATCGACAACCAATAATTCATTGGACCAGCACAATCCCTAACAACAATCTATAAACATTTGTCCTTAGGTCCACAGACAACTGTAGTCTTCACCTCCATCAATGAACCTTTTCTTTGCAACAGTCAGAGCCCATCACAGAAAACCACAGTTGCCCATGCCCTTATCACAGATATGATACCAAGATTTGGCCTCCCTTCTTCTCTCCAATCAGACAGTGACCCTAAATTTACCTCCTAAATCTCGCCATTTCTAACCACATCCTTTAACATTAAAAATGGCCTACAAATCCCATGCCATCTCCAATCCTCTGGCAAAGTAGAACACATGAGTAAGAGATCCTCACCAAGCCATCCAGAGACTTGCACTCAGACTGGATCAGACTCCTTCCACTGGTCCTTCTGAAGGTCCCTTCCCTCCCATCTTAACCCTGAACACCTTCGAACTTTTATATGGCAGACCCCCGTATAACCCTAGGAATGCCAGTTCCTTCCTTTCAACACTTAACCCCACCTCCACCCCACTTTCCTCTCCTCCAACACCTCCAACAAATCCTCTGGATATAGGTAGACCAGAAACTCCAATACCCCCTACCTAACCTACACTTCCATCTTGAGGCTGGACAATGGGTAAATCTCAATGCTCCACATACATCAAGTACCCTATAACAAAAACGGAAAGGGCCATTCAAAGTCATACTTACTACCCACACAACAGCAAAACTCCAAGGGCGCCCCACATGAATCTGTATGTGTAAACCCAAGTTGCCCCACTCCTCTGTAACTGTATTTCTACAGGCCATTTCGGTGGTATTCTGTACTGCACCCCTCACACACAATACTAAACAACCGAAAGGGTGTCCTGTGGATTGGTTCTGAATTCAGAAACATACAGGGAGATTTCTAGACTGGTCTAGAGGACTCCAGAAAATGAATCATGATCAATCAACTCTCTCCAGCGTAAAAGACTACCCTCCTCCCACAGTACCTACTTTAAGGACCTTTCTAAGCCCAGGCAACCCTAACTTATCAGGTCCCCTATTGTGTTCATAGGCCTCACTTCCCTTTATCCCTCCCCGTCAGTGACCTCCCGCCATGGCAAGGTAACCTCACTCTCATCATACTTCCCCAAAAAGGAGCACTTAAGACTCATCTAGAACACAAGGCTCTTCAGAAATGTCTGTTTTACTGGCCTTCCAACCTCCAATCTGTTTGCATCTACCCAAGGTTCCCAATATCATTGAGGGCAAGAGAAGAGACCTGATTTCCCAGGGCTAGTTAAGTCTTTTCCAAAAACCTAAATGGTCCTCATTCCTATCTGATTCCATTACCAGTTGCTGGCTCCTAAACACCCCCACACCTTACCGGTTTTTCTTTGACACCAGTACCTTCCACCTAATTCAGGAAAACCCCGCAATTAGCCAATCTCTCCAGGTCAGGTTACAACCTTTCACCACCTTGCCCCTAGGGCACTCATTTTCCTTATGGCACAACTGCAAAGGTAAACTGCACCCAGTAACCTGCTTCAACCTTATTCCCCAGCACAGGGCTGTTCTAGATCTGCTGGTCAAGCGTCTACATCTTCCTGCCTAGTAACTGAACAGGGACCATTTCTCTCATCCCTCCAGATACCCCACTCCCCCTGCTTGCCTTTATTCCAATAAAAGCAAAAACAACTATGGGGTCACCCCCTTACTAACTACTCTAGGCACCCTCCTCAGGCTTGGAACTGGGAGGCTTCAATATCTTTCCATCAATTAACCCCTGTCTCTCCAGCTCTGAGAAAGCCTTAAGGAAATTTCTGATCAGCTTGACACCCTTCAGGATCTACCCGATTCTTTGGTCACTGAGTGGCTCCAAAACTGCAGAGCGCCAGACCCCCTGCCTGCAGTCAACAGAGGGATATGCACTCTTCTAGAGGAACAATGCTGCTTCTACACCAACAAATCAAAACTAGTTCAGCACTGGGCCCAGCCAGGCACAAAATCTCAACAGCAAGTTTCCCCTCCAGATGGGCTCTCGCTTCCCTCCCATCCAGGCCCCTCCCCTTACTCACACCCTTCTGACATTTTTACCTTGTCTTTTAAACTTGGTAGAGGGATTCCTCCCGGACTCCTTTTGCTATCACCCAGTCCACCACACTAGACAAGACAGTCAGTGCTCCTCTCCTAGTCACTCTGGACCCAAGAATCCCAAAATGACAATTCTCCATCAGCAGGAAGTAGTTACATCCAAAGAAATGGTGCCCCTATGCTTATCTATCTATCTATCTATCTATCATCTATCCGTGTGTATACATATGTGTACACACAAATACACACATACATATATATATATATATATATACACACACACGAATATATACATATGTTGTAGAATATTATTTTAAGGTGTGTTACTTTTGTTTATGTTGTATTTGTTTAACCCTGTGACGTTGTGTTACTGTGCTTGTCTAAAACACCTGGTGGTCTAATAAAGAGCTGAATGGCCAACAGCAAAGCAGGAGAAAGGATAGGAGTGGCTGGCAGGCAGAGAGAATATATAGAAGAAATCTGGGAGGAGGAAAGAAAAGAAGTAGCCAGAGAAGGAGGACATCAGGGGCCAGTCACCCAGCTACACAACCAGCAATGGAGTAAGAGTAAGATTTACAGAAGTAAGAGAACGGGAAAAGCCCAGAGGCTAAAGGTAGATGAGATAATTTAAGGAAAGCTGGCAAGAAACAAGCCAAGCTAAGGCCAGGCAGTTATAATTAAGAATAAGCCTCAGTGTGTGATTTATTTGGAAGCTGGGTGGCAGGCCCCCAGAAAGAAAAAGAGTAAAAAACCAACAAAACACACATACACACACACACACACACACACACACACACACACACACACACACACGCACACGAATGATTTGGAAAAAGGGAAATTCCCACCCTTCTTAAAACCAAGGCTTGAAAGTGGCTCAAAGTTCCAGGAAGTCGACTATTTGTACAATTCCCAGAGGTTGCAAAAGAAAAGCAGCTGACCCCAATCCCAGTTGTTGCAGAAAAAGACAGCAAGACCTATCCCATCTCCTGTAGTTTCGAATTAAAAAAAAAAAAAAAAAAGCTTATCTAGAAAAACCAAAACCAGCTTATTTCCCTATTCTGTCCCTAACTTACCTTTAGCTATAAAACCCCCCCACTCAAACCATGTGCCGTGTGTTCTCTTACATTCTCGTCACAGTGCTGCTGGGTCTTGGGATGCCCCTCACAGGCTAAATAAGATCTGCTCTTGCTGGTGAGGTCGGTGTGGGTTTTCCTTCTTTGTTTCCTTCCTCAAACTCAGCTCTTACAGGGATAACCTCACAGGGCTGGGACCTGCGGACACACTGGGAAAGTTAAAGGTCTGAATGTGTTTTGAGGTTTGCCAAGTGCAGAAGGGAAGTTCAGGTCCGGCTCCCAGAGGAAAAGCGTGCCAGTGGGTCTACAGGGGTCCTACGTAAGATTCTCGCATAGCCAAGCAGACTAGCACCAGATAGCCTGCATCCTTTCTTTACCACGACCACTGGCTCTGCAAAGGCTTTGCATCTGCAGCCAGGGAGCCTGACAGGTCTACAGCAACTCAGTCTGCAGTCCCCGCTCCTTGACACCAGGGTCCATACTTGCTCAGTCTCCTGCCCCAGCTGCTTACATTTATGTCTGGAAAAGAACAAGGATATAGCTCTGGGGTTTGCTGATGTCTGAAAGAGATTCGAAGTCAAATACCAGACAATACTCAAAGCACAATGGCCCATCTTGCATGTGATCCTATATTTATCTTATAGAATGAACAGTAACAACAGCCACAGACGTTTTTCTGGTTTGACCTCATCTCAACCAGCTACTATGGATTTATCAAGACGTGCTTTTAGACCTCTGTGTAAACAACTGTAGACCTTAAGACACAAAGCATTGCTTTTTAAGTCCTAAATGAGTTAATTCCTTTGATGTTTACATTTCTACTGGAACTGACCAGATTGACTAGAATTATGTAAGAAAAACAAATCTCTAAGTAGGCTTTGGATTTAGGAACAGCAGGTTTCTGTTAATGTTTCAATTTTTAAGATAGGAAAAAGTTGCAGCCATGGGCTTCAACTTACTTGGAAATTATTCTGAGTTTTTAAAAAGATTATGTGCTTGGGTGTTTTGCCTGCATGGATGTCTGTGTGCCACATGCATGCCTGGTGCCCGCACAGGGCAGAAGAGGGCATCAGGTGCCCTGGAACTGGAGTTACAGACTGCTGTAAGTCACATATGGTTGCTGGGAACTGAATCCTCTGGAAGCTGCCAGTGCTCTTAACTATGGAGCCATCTTTCCAGCACCACTGATTCAGATATTTTTATAAATAGCCATTACTTAATTTTAAGGTTTCAAATTATCAAAATGATTTTTGAAACTAGTGTTTAAAGAGACACAGTTTATAAAACATAATTGTTCTTAATTCCCAGTCTGCCATTTAAAATGAATGCTACACTCAGCCTTTGTCAGAGATGCCTATTGCAACAGGAGACAGACAGGGAATGCAGAAACACACAACTGGCCATAGCGTCAAGGATAGGTGAGGAGTGCTCCGCCCTACAGGGACATCTCCACCCCTGGGGAAACTCCGGAACAGTACAGAAGAGGGGGAGGAAAGGCACCAAGAGCCAGAGGATGAGGGGGTGTGCAGCACAAAGATGTCCTCTGGCTGCGACATAGATGCTGCACTCATGAACTCACTGTCACTGTGCTTATCTGAGTAACACCTCTCTATGACTAAGCCTATCATTTCATCACGGATGGAAGAGGGACCCATGAGGCCCCACCTCTCCCTGGGATGATACTGGCAGTTAATGGTTGCTGGAGGTAGGGCATGTCATTTTCTTCAGAAGTGTAGCCACTGATGCATTGCCTATGGTCCACAATGACCTCCTACCCACACTCATACAAGAAATTCCAATGAAATTAAATGGGACACACAGAAAAAAGACATGAAAGCAAGAGAGGGGATGGCTGGGTAGAAGAAGGTTTTAACAGGAGGGAGAAGATGAAAGGATCTTGGTGACAAAAATTAATTATATACTGTTAAGTTTCAAACCTGAGACAAACAGCTAAGGTGCCTACTTAACATATCAAAGCAGACCTGGCTGCCAGGTTCTCCCAGTATCCCTCAGTTCCTGTTACAGGGTAACGCTGGCATACCTTGAACTGACTGTCCTTAGGCTTGACATGTGAGATAAAGAAAGGCCTTTCTTTCCAAGTTGCTTTTGGTCAGAGTTTCATCACAGCAATAGAAAACAAAGAAGGACAGATACCAAGAGATGTTCCAAATAAATGGACCTGGGACATAGGCAGGTGCCAGTGTTCTAATATCTGACAAAACAGACTTCAAACCAAAGCCAGTGATAAAAGATAAAGACGGTCACGTTGTGCTGCTTAAGAGAACGACACCAGGAGGACATTAGGATCCTTAACAATGTGCACCCAATTCCATAAAAGAACTGCTATCTATACCATATACACTCTAGGGCTGGGGCTGTACGGACCCACCTAACAACCACAAGAGCAAGTAAGAGCAAGACGGAATAAAACAAATAAGACCATTAAAAGATAAGCACTTGACTGGGTGAGTTGGTGCATGCCTTTAATTCCAGCACTTGGAAGGCAGAGGCAGGAGTCTGTCTGTAAGTCTGAGGTCAGCTTGATCAAAAAAAAAGTATTTTGCTAGAAAAGAAGTGATTCTACTATATTAAGGGGCAAAAATAATAGCATAGTTTATTTCCACATAAGAACAAATTATATTCCAAATAATCACATAATTTCAAGAAAGATTTCTCCTAAAATATTTTTATAAAAAGTAACCCCAATGCCTTAAGTTCTGGAAATGCCACCTTGTACATTACTATTACCTTAACTGAAACATTCTAAAACATCCATACCTTCTATGCTCTCATTTACATAGCTGAAATTTTTTCTGGCTATCTTTCATGATAAATGATGCTGCTGATAACTTTACTCTGTAGAATCTTACTTTGGTGATTTTTACACTTTTACAGATAAGGAACAGATATATACATACACAGATCACACACACATACACACACACACACACACACACACACACACACACACACACACACACACACACTTTTCTAATGGCTTGTACTGGAGACCAGGGAGTTACATTTTGTCAAACCCAGATTGAACAGAGTTGAGTTTAGGTTAATGCAGAGAAAGGCGTGCTCTGGATGTGTTGTCCTTTGTATTTCCTGAAGCATCAGGTGAATGGTAAAAACTTCAAAGAGCTTCTTATTACCCCTGTAAAAGAACAGTGTTATTATTTAGTTATTTATAAACTTGAGAGAACTTATGCAAATGTGAGGAAATGGCACTTGTTTTTAAAAACAATGGAGAAAATGGCTGACTACAGGATTTAGATGCAAGAAAAGTAGGTTTTATGATCTAAGCCCAAAGTGGAAAAACAATATAGGCAAAGAAGAAAGAGTTCACATCCTGAAAACTGAACCCTATTCACTAATAGAGAGTAACTACTAGGAACAAGGACCTCGCCTTCCCACCGTTAGACAGAACCAGTTTTCTTAAGGAGCTAAAGTGACAATATACTACTTTACAACCACTTGCTCTTTAATAGACATTTTAGCCGGGTGGTGGTGG